GAGAAACATAAAAATAACCGCTTAAAACTTTAAAGGAAAGTTAAAATAACATAACAGAAACAACAGATGCCACGGATGGGTAAAACTGAAGAAGATTGAAACGGATTGAAATTAGGGTTTTTGAAAACTGTTCAGCCTAACAGTTTTTCAAAGTTGATCTCTGCTGCTTGCAAGTTCAAAAATAATGCTCAGGAGACATATTTGTTTGTCTCGGATCTCTGATTTTGTCATTTACCTGTAATTTCTTTGCTTACGTTAAGTTCCATAGCGATTGAGGGTGAGTGATTGGCAAAATTAAACAAAATGAACTGGACTGCCGTGACACAGCCCCTTTAATTCTTATAACATAACACGTAATGTATACAACATGCAACCCTAAACCCTCAATTTGAGAATAGTAGCAGGGACAGGAGGATTCACAGTCACTTAGTTCATCGCAATGTTTGAGAACCTGACAAAGAACGTCTCGCACATAGTTTGCCTTATTTGGAAATTCTCAAGGGATGGTTGAAGGACAGCATTTTACCAGGCAACACAAAATGGTGCCCGAAATGCTATCGTCTTTGCTCGTCAATTATAAACGCAATTTAACGCATTCTGGATTCCGATTTTACAATCTAATAACTCACTAAGGACACCCTGGAAAAGGTGTGCAATAATCGAACCAAAATCGAAACATGGAAGCAAAGAATTGTGAATCGAACCAAATGGTCATAATCGCAATTAAGCGAGAATTCAATTAATCGTTACACCACTAGGGGCGGCAGGTGGAATTTTTATGCCATGTTTTAATAATTTGCGAAGGTTAAAGTTATGGGCTCAACAATATGATCACTGACTTCAACCAACAATTACTAGATCATGGTGCTTACACAGATATATAGATCCTTTAATACTTTTGCAATCAATATCTTGTGGGAGTTTTAAATAAAAGCAAGTCATGTTTCATTGCATTTAATTAATTGTGATTGATAACTTTATCCCTATGGCTCCCAAAGAGCTACTCTGAATGGCCTAAGAGCAGGGACCCGTTTTTGGGTCACTTAAACTGGCCAATCAAGTATGAAAAGTCCTTCACCCGATGCAACACCATTTAAAAATAGGACAAGGGAATTTTCATAAGTCTTGCCATCAACGTACCTTCTGATGCTTAATGAGATATCCTTTTATGGAACTCAGGACCATTTCAGGCTGTTTTTTGCCAAGTTCATGGAGAGATGTCATAATCATCTGACGCACCTCAGGCTGCTTGTCATTGGCTGCATCAACAAGTGCCAGGCAAAGCTCTACAAGAAGAAAGAGAATGCATGAAGTTAATACAACCAGGTTATTTTTTCTGTAATTGAGACTGCAAATAAAACTCCACTAAAATTTCCACAAAAAAATAACAAACTGAAAGGAAACTTTAACAATAAAAAACCTAACTCTGTTGTTGGCTTTTCACAAAAATAACTATTTAGAACAAACAAATAATAATTCAGGGAAGTACATGTACTAGAAAAATGTCAAGAAAGGCATTAGGTGCATCATAAGATTGGAAGGGGTGAATTAAATGTTTTAGCCCTGAATATCGATTTTTTTTTGCTGTGCAAATTCCTAGCAGTACGTCATATTTGAACATATGTAGCATAGTTCAAGGTAAGTTAAAGTTTCCAAAGCTCAGAGATAAAAGTGCCTAGCCTGTATTATTCTAGGAAAGTCGTTTTTTAAGGGGGAAAGGGAGAAAGGCTCATGTTTTAGGGGGGGGAGGGAAGGAGGCAAAGGCTCATGATGTTAAGAATATAACACCTGTGTTATAAGAATCAGCTAGAGACATGAGGGTTGTTACCTTGGGTGCCAGAGGCTTTTCATGCATGGTTTCCGGTTTCAGTCAAGTCTTAAAAAGTGACCTGCTTGAAAAGCCTCTGGACCAGAGCGCCATCCCTTTGATAGCGCCAAGCAAATTACAACCCCGCTTATACCAAAACATCCAGAGTCTAGATGCTAAGCTTGGAGATATGTTTTGCTTGTTCCTTGGAGATATCAAATGTTTCAAACGCTCCGATTGGATTACAATCTCAATAGGCGCATGATCGGGACATGTGTGGTTTGAAGATGACAAAGATCAAATCCAAACAATCTAAGCACACATCACATACGTTTTTGCTTTTTGGAAGAGAATTGGAAATATCAGATACCTGTACGAACCTAAGATTTAGATAAGACATTTAGCCAAAGTCATTGGAATATTCGATGATGTGGAGGAGATAAGTGCAGAACTAAGAAAGGGCATTGTAAATTATATTCAATTAATTGGAGGTCTTGCCGACTGGCTATGGAAAATCACTGCAGTTCCAGTTACTGCCTGGCATATGCAGTGCGTAAAAAGGGGGTCAGTAGGCAACACATGACTTTTACCTCATGCCAAAAAGCTGCTTGTTCCAATTAATTTTTTCTCCAGAGGGTAGATTATGACTGAGCAAATGTGCATAATTTTTGCTGCTTGTTTCATACCAAAAAGTCGTGACACACATATTGATTTTCTGCAGTTGATTTCTGGTTGGCAAGATTTGCCCTCTGCGCGAGTCAAGAAAATTTTCTTTGACCTCTTTTGAAATGTAAACTTCTTCATTACTGCTTAATAAACTTTTAGCTTGTTTAATTTTCTCAAAGTGCCTCCTGGATCTGAATAATTCTAAGCTGTTTTCTATTTGTCTATGAATGTGAAGGTTTCCTGTAATGTTTGGTCATACTAGGCCCAGCTGGTAAGTAGTTTTTGCAGGATATTAAATTCTCCTTAGTGATTTACAGATCCAAATTTTGAAGAATGGATTGCAACTTGAACTGAAGCTACATAAATTATGGAGAACTGCACTGTGACAAGATTGATTTTTAAACTCCAGCTTGTTTTTCTAAAGATTTAGTGACTCTTTGGGCTGGAGCGCATCAGTGCTCCCTTGGTAATTACTTTTGAATTAGCTTAACAGTCTTGCGACCACCAGTTTGATTGACAGATTAGAGAAAAAATCAAGGTTCGTCTAGCCCGGTAAATCAAGGTGCTCTGCACCAGAGGTTTTTTCTTGCAGCATCGCCCCTTGTGTCAGGCCGAAGACGTGTCCGCCTGCGGCCAACAAAACTCCTGGTCATACGCGAGAAAAAACCTCTGGTACCCAGGGGAAAGGGGTTGTCCACGCCATGCCTGAATATTTGAGTGTTCAGTATTGGCAGTCAAAAGAATCGTGCACTATATTGGAATAATACTGTGAAATTTCTTCGACTCGCTATGTTTTATGACAGTCGAATAATTAAAACCATAGGATTCTATCTACCACAGGAAGACCAGGTCCTGTTCAGATAAGCAGAAACACGGAAGTCATGTTTTCAGTTTCAGTTTCATTTTTTTTTTGTGGTGAAATAAACTGAAACTGAAACTGAAAACACAGCTTACAGCAGTTCCAGTTCTACAAAACTAAAACGTCCCCAGAAAAGTCGTCTCGAAAGTCAAGTGAGAAAATCAGGAAAAAGAACAGTAAAGATACTGAATAATGGAGCATAACAGTGATGCTATCTGACCCTATAAAAATGACATTAATTTCTTGAGCATAAAGAATTAGCAACATAATAATGTCAAACATTGGGCATTGGGCATGTACACCTACAGTTAGATTCCCAGAAACCCCAGGGTGACGACCTTTTATGGTAAAATTTGGACAAGCGACATGGCCCTGAAACAGTGACATACAACAGATGAAGTGATGACAAACAACAAAAAGAAGGTTAAAATACCAACAGGGACATGGCGTACTTCTAGATCCTGAAAATGCGAAGCGACCGTATTTGAAAGTCATACTAGGGAAATGCATACCACCCCTAGGATGGTTCCAGGGGTAGATCCCCCAAAAGAACAGAGAGAAGAAACTACCCACTTTGTAGAAGAAAGTGAGAAAGAGCTTATTGATACACACGTGCAAATCATCTTTGAAACAGGAAGTGACACGAACCTTTGATAATGCTCCATTTAAAATGCTATAAGCACCCAAAAATCCTTGGCTAAGGTTCCTAATTTAGTTTACTTTAATTAACGTAGTATTAATCTAACCTAAATGTGAGGTGACTTCACTGTTTTAGGCAAGAAGTACACATTTGAGAAAGAGAAGCCCAAAAATTTATATAAGCTCTTAGATATATAGGTACACTCATCTTAATTATTTTAATAACTGATGGTACGATAATGAACAAATATGGAAGAAGTGATCGAGTAATCAGTAGTCGGCAACATAATCAAAACCTAAAAATGTACAGATTTCACGAACATTATAGAAATCTGACCATGTAACTAAGGTTTTGATTTTGACAATTCATTGAGTGGGAATTAAGCCGCGACGAGAAGAACTCGTAGCATTAGAAGCGTACCGTCAACTTGTCCCCCCGTCTTTTTGACCTCGTCTTCTGCCATCTTCACTCGCCAAAATGCCTTTTTACGTCATGCACCACAGAAAATACACCACCATTAGTTAAGAACGATAGAAAAGGGCAAAAAACCGTAACGTTACATCACCGAACATTGAAGTTTTGCTGCAGAATCCCTACCAACACCTCAAACGGTAGACCGCAGGATTCACGTGAGTTTTTTTGCAGGCTCGTATGATTTTGGCGGTCTGGCGGGACTGGAAAGAACATTTTGAAGATTATGGAATGTCTAGGCGAAGATGTTTTGTTCGCGATATTTTCGTTTTTAGATGTTAGGGCTCTATGCTGTGCGAGTCAAGTTTGTCAGCAATGGAATCGAATCTCGAATTCGAACTTTCTTTGGAGATCACACGTTATCCAGCTCTGTACAAAACGTAAGATCTCAGCTCATCTGGGCAGAGCTGAAAACTGGAAAATACGTTATGTGCAACTTTCTACAGGACGGCTATATCCTCGTTCCTCGTCGAAGACGGAAAAGAAATTAAGCCTCGATACTTTGATTGCTAATCTATTTCCTGTAAAGACAGCAAAATTTGTCCAGTTAACGGTCAAGAAACGGCTTCCAATTCGTGATTTTGTTGAAAGCCACGGGCACAAGTATGTGACTGGGAAAGCATTTTATCAGCACACGAAAAGCGAGACGATTAGCATGAAAAAGAAAATTTTGCTTCAAGAAAAACTCAGTGGCCAACTTTTTGAAGGAAATGCTGTTAGAGAGATACTGGGTCTGAACAAGGAACCACCAGATTGGAATATACATCCGTCCAATTTTGATAGACGCATTGCAGAGTTTTACAGAGTGTTTGTTCAGAGCACTTCAGTAAATCGCGCGTTAGTATCCAATTCGCTGCTACTTTATGAAATTAAATAATCAAGCCTTTCTTTTGTAATCACAAAAACAGTCTGGGAGAAATTGTGGACTGTGTGCCTGCTGTTATTTAATAAGTAAATTAAATTTTCCGCGTTTAATAAGCTGGGTCCTCGGTAGTATAGTGGTGAGTATCCCCGCCTGTCACGCGGGAGACCGGGGTTCGATTCCCCGCCGGGGAGGAGCTGAATTTTTTTTTCCTCCTTATTTTGACTCGTGCACTTGTGATAGATATTTCCTCCGAATTTTTTTGTCTTCAATACGGTTTTTTTCAGTGGAAGTTTAGAAGTGTGCATAAATGTGCTCTATGGTAAATGTGATGTTTTTTTAAATTTTCTTGCATTCAAAAACTCCAATGCAAAGGCCACACTCAATACGCATTCATTGACCAAGTGGTGGATGTTGGCCAAGTTCTTTTTCTTTTTTCTCTTTTTTTGCACTTTTAAGTACAGAGACTAGTTCAATAAAAATGAGAAGAATGAACAAGGCCAATGTTCACTTGCTCTTGTAGCCAATCAGAAGGGACTTCATAAAATAGCCATATTGCCATGTAATAAATTCACTCTGGGTAACTTTTCTTGCTGAAACCTCGAAAGACTTGGAAATAATTCTCATAACAACTGTACTGAGTTTTACGAATAGTCTTTCACGCACTAGCCTTTATTGTAGCCTTAAGACAAGTTTCATTTATTCAAACCTCTTCAGTTTGGCTAAAACTGTTACAATAAATTCACTGACTTCTCAATATTGCGACTTTTATGTAGAGTAGAACTCCTTGCACAGATTACTATTGAAGTTGCTATATTTCTAAACCATTCTGGTTAATAATGCCTATGAAGTGGAAAGATCTTGCACAAGGACATTAGTGATGACCACCTGTCCCTGTCACAGATCGAAGTGACTGTGCCTACCACATCCACGTTCTTGTGTTTTTTTTTTTGCTTTTTTGTTAATGAACATCTAGGGACTGGGTTCGAATTCAATTTTTGTTGTTGTTGTTGTTGTTGTTTTCATTTTTCAAGGGTAAACTAAGCTGTTTTACGACAGGGCCTTGCCTTGCATGGGTCTAGAGTCGCGTTTATAATTAACTATAACTAATTTTTTTTTTTTATTTTGTTAATCATATGTCTTGTTAATTCTTTTATGATTGCAGTTTTGCATCAATAAAGTGTCAAAAAAAAGGAAAAAACCTTTTGTCAAGTTGGACATGTATGACATGAAAACATGACTACTGGTGCATTTAGATGTTATTATATCAAAATGGAAATTAGGAAATTGAGTAATTTTATTTTTCAGTGGACAGAAACCTTGTTTTAGAATTATTTCAAGCATATTGCATCCTTTTTTAACACTTTTAACTAAAAGTTATAAGTTATATGAAATAACTCCAAACAAAAGGTTCTTATGGGAGCCCGAGAAAACAAACTTCAAAAGCTTCAAATTTCACAAAATGAAATCTTGCGCATGATGATTTTACCTGTGTTTTCTCAATTCCTGTAAAATTTGAAATATATTTTGTCGGGTTTCCATAAGGAATTGTCTTTGGCGTTATTACAGATGACTAATTATATCTATAGCCCTTGAAAAGTGTACAAAAAAAAAGTCATATGGCCTAAAATATTCTGGTACAAGGTTTTTATCAGCTGAAAATTGAAATTACTTAGTTTCGTGGTGGATTCTGTCTAAATTATTTATACGCGATTTTTTTTTCTGTACATGTATTTCAATTTCCTTTTTCTGGTTGAATTTGAATTTGGTTTGAGGTAAAATTGGCTCCTTTCCTCTCCTTGATCTTAAGCTCCTTTATAAAAGATACATCTCCTGGCTAGCTTTTAAAAAACCAGGGAAATTTGCTTTCAATAGTTGCTTTCAAAATAAAACTCAACATAGTTAACTTTATGTGTCAACAAAAGGTAGGAACACACACAAAAAACTAATTTTCAATGCCCCCTTTGACTTAAGATTTTTAAAGACTGGACTTCTTGTTGGTTCAGGTGTGGTTTCTAATTTGATGATGGGTGATTTTATTCTACTCCCGTTGCGTAGCATCCTTAGATAAAATCAAATTATTCCTGAAAATTCTACGAGTTTTTGACCAGAACTACAAAAATATACCGGTTTGTTTACATTTGTCTAAGTCAGTCCATGAACACCGTACTTTTTTCCTCCTTGTGAGTACCAGTTCAAATTACTGACGTGTCATGACACCAAATCGAGGTTACGTGACAAAAATATCAGGGGTACAATGAATACAACATGGCGGCAGCGCGTGCAACATTTCTCTCGTTTGCTGTCGGCTTCTCATTTGGGATTTTTGTTGTGACTGTAGTGAGTTACTTCAATGCTGATAGAAACTCACAGAGAATGCTTGTCCAGGTCACTAAGTCTCCTCCACTTAACGAAGATGACGACTTAGACATCACGCATAAAATTGTTCATCGCGACAGTAACAAGTTCAAGGTTGAATCACCAGTGGATTTTGATGCAGATCTTAAAGATCANTTAAAGACTGGACTTCTTGTTGGTTCAGGTGTGGTTTCTAATTTGATGATGGGTGATTTTATTCTACTCCCGTTGCGTAGCATCCTTAGATAAAATCAAATTATTCCTGAAAATTCTACGAGTTTTTGACCAGAACTACAAAAATATACCGGTTTGTTTACATTTGTCTAAGTCAGTCCATGAACACCGTACTTTTTTCCTCCTTGTGAGTACCAGTTCAAATTACTGACGTGTCATGACACCAAATCGAGGTTACGTGACAAAAATATCAGGGGTACAATGAATACAACATGGCGGCAGCGCGTGCAACATTTCTCTCGTTTGCTGTCGGCTTCTCATTTGGGATTTTTGTTGTGACTGTAGTGAGTTACTTCAATGCTGATAGAAACTCACAGAGAATGCTTGTCCAGGTCACTAAGTCTCCTCCACTTAACGAAGATGACGACTTAGACATCACGCATAAAATTGTTCATCGCGACAGTAACAAGTTCAAGGTTGAATCACCAGTGGATTTTGATGCAGATCTTAAAGATCATCATCACCATCTCTCCTTAAATAAAGAAGCTCTGAAGGAGCAGCAGGAAATAAGAATTCTTTGCTGGGTGATGACAAGTCCAGAAAATCTTCCTATCAAAGGAAAACCAGTCAAGGAAACGTGGGGAAAGAGATGCAATGTTCTTTTGTTTATGAGCTCTAAAGATGATCCTAGTTTCCCGGCGATCGGGCTGGATGTCAGTGAGGGTCGCGATCAATTGTGGCGTAAAACCAGAGCAGCTTGGGATTACGTCTATGAGCACCACATAAACGATGCTCACTGGTTTATTAAAGCGGACGATGATACGTTCGTCATAATCGAAAATCTCCGCCACCAGGTTTCAAGTCTGGATTCCGAGAAACCCCACTATCTAGGAAGATACTTCAAGCCTTTCGGCGGATACAACAGTGGCGGAGCTGGTTATGTGTTCAGCCGAGAAACTTTGCGTAGATTTAAGACAGCACTAGGTGATTCCTCTAAATGCTCTCAACAATCATTTGCAGAGGATGTGGAGGTTGGGAAATGTCTGAATGCAATGGGTGTCAAGCCGGCATATACCAGGGATAAGAGTGGTAGAGAAACCTTCATGCCGCTTCCCCCGGAACATCACCTTATCCCTGGGTATCTAAACAAAGATTTTTGGCTTTGGAGTTATGACAATAATCCATACAAAGATGGACCAGAATGTTGTTCTGATCATGCCGTGACTTTTCATTATATTAATCCCAACATGATGTACGTGTTGGAGTATTTAGTTTACCATCTTAGACCTTATGGAATGATTCATGATGATCACAGTTCTGAAGGTCTTAAGAAACCTGATACACAAGACAAATCTGTAAAGGACGATTCTGCAACAAGATGAGGTTCTAGATGAGAATTTATTGCAAGATTTCCTCATATCTTTTGTATCAGAGTCTCAGATATCAGCTGCAAACTTCAGATCACCTTATGTCAACTTCAACAAGCTAATAGTCCTTAAAATAAGTAAAGAACATAGACCCACTTCAATGCGGCACCATGTATGTGCCAATCCTAGTTAGATAAATTTTAACTAAAGATCAACAGCTGGTTTAAACAGCATACTTTCTGAATTACAACTATAGCTGGAATGAGCTCAAATTATTAATTTAACATTATTAAATATTTTAAATATTAGTTTGGCACATGAGAAGATAACTCCATGCACTTAAAAGAGCCTCTCACAAACTTGACCTTGCAAATATACTGAATTTAACTGAACCAAACTGATTTAACTTTACCATCCTAGCCTCCGCTGGTATTTCACCTCAAAAGTGGTGAAGTGTTTGAAAAGGACATGCCTAATATAAGTATTACTGCTTGAAGCATTTTTTCAGTGTTTTTGGCCTCCACATTACATTTTTTTGTAAAAAAAAAACAAGTCCTGTGTTCACAGAGAAAAAGCTTTTAATCTTTTCCTTGCAAAGTCTTCAATTTTGCACTTTCTTTTAACTTTATACATCCCCAGCTAGAAAATTTTTCTTTTCTGTCTGTTTATTCTTTTTCCACACAGTTTATAGAGTGGCTCTAAGGAAATTAGTGGAAAAATTGATGAGCATTGTTTTTAAAAGTTTTGTCACCCCCGGTGTGTAAGAAGAGGTTTCACTGTGATATATTACTTGGCACATATGTCTAAGAGGATACTAATTTTCATGGCCATCACAAGTTCCATATGTAGTCAAAAATCATACCAGTTGTCAATTTTTTTTAGCAATGACTGATACCACAGGCTGCCAAAGCATAACATAAGAGTTTGCATGGGGAAGAGTATGTATAGGAAATAAAACCACAAATAGATTATCCTAGCTATATGGCTACAATAGTACATGCACTCTGACTGGCTGTTTTCCTGTAATGACCAGGCATTATTTTCTTGTAATGACCAGGCAATACTAGCTAGGTGTCCAAGGCATATACTATCTGTGTTTAACTTGATAGTGGACATCCTTATGTAGATCCATGTTATGGTCCATTGACAGCTGTCAAAAAGGGTATCCGCTGATCAGTGTCACCTGACTGTATCACAGGCTCAAGTGTACAACTTATTGAGGTGATGTGTTTTTTTAAAGTTATCTGCTGACCAATTGTTGGTTTTAATTGGTTGCAGGCTCAGGTCCATAATGAAAAGGCCATAAAATAAATAACTGATAAACCTTGTCCATTCAGTCATTACAGGAAAATCTCAGACCAACGCCTTGATGTATTGAATCGAGCGATAACGAGGTCAAAACATTAAGACCTCGCTCTGAGATTTCCCTGCGATGACCTCACTCTCAGTTAATAAGTAGTATGTATTGTCCATCTGTCTACAAAGTTTCAGTGTGATTTAAGCAGCATAACATCATATGACCTGATAGTGTAATACTCTCCATTATTACACTGCTAGGATAGATTATGTTATACTCCTCAAGTTTTGCTGAAACTTCTTAGATTAGGATGGACAATGACACCAGCTAATAATATTTAAACTTAATTCATAACTTTTAATCATCGTAGTTCAAACATCTGTTGTAAGTTTTATTTCCCACAAAATCTCTTTTTTAAGCTTGGGCTACCTGTGCTGATACAAGAGTGGGGTTAACTAACAAATTTTAAAATTTAGAAAGTACTTAATAATAATATTGATGCAATGAAATCATCATTCAAGACTTTCACTCTTAGTCTATAATAAAAAATATTGAAGCTGGCCAAGTTATAGCTAGTTTTAAATAAGGCAACTGAGCAAGCTAATTAGACTCTAATAATTATTGCCAGTAGTGGCAAACAAGGTGTTTAAAATGCCTCAGTAAAGCTTCCTTTCTGCCACCAAGGATTTATTGATTAAAGACAAACATACATTTAAAAATCAAAATTCCACTGAAAAAATCTCAAGCTGATATGAAGTATATCTCACTATATCCTGAACAGTTTTACTCATATGTGATTTATGATTTGTTAACTTCAAGTTGCATAAAAATAATGTTATTACAAATGATAAGAACTTTGAAAAGAGCATAATAGTAAATAAGTTATTAAAGAAAATTGGACACATATGTGTCATAGCAAGCCTGAGTTACTCAGCTGCAGTGAGCTTTAAATTAAGGACATAAATGTATTTGAATGTGTCTGTTGTTTTATTGTGTTTGACTGAGGGATCTGATCCTGCAACAGTGTAACCTATCAAGCAAATTAGACAGTACTCCAGACATCAAGAAATGAGCTGAAAGATAAAGATTCACCATCGCTGGCATATTTTAAGCCAACTTCAAAGTAACTCAGCAGCAGGAGCGGATCTACACTAGTACCACTGTTTACAAAAATAGGTCAGATTTTTCGATCGAAATAAACATATTTTTAATTTTTTTTTTAAATAAATACATTTTTTATGAAAAAAAAATTCCCAGTTGAAATCTGGAAGTGGATTGGACAATTTTTTGTTCAATTTCTAGGCATTAGGTACGTTATGAGAGGAAATGAAACTGGCCAATATCCTTTCTGAATGAGACAAAAACGCAGGAAAGGGGAGTTTTAGGGAGTTTTTGAAAAAAAAAATTTCCCTGGGGAGCATGCCTCTTGACCCCTCTAGAAGCTTGCACCTTCGCCTCTCGTTTAGGAAATCGGTCAGTATTTTTCCCAGAACCGCACCTGAGCACCTTGGGTTGAACAGTGTGTTCAGTGTTTGGCATTAAGTAACTTGAGATTACAGGGGCACCCAATGGATCTGTTCCTCAAAATATCTGTTCTTCAGGCAAATTAATGCAGGCTGGAAGATTTGGAAAAATTAATATGTCGTTGGAAGGAAAGTGTTGCTGGGAAATAGACAATAGACCTTTTTATCGATACGGCGGCCGTATTGAATTAATTGGATCAGTAATGAGTATTATGGGATGCCTAGGGAGGCATGAGCACGATCTCATATACTTGCATCAGTATTTACGCGTGCTTTTCGGGACAATTTTTCTTTAAGGTTTCTAGAAAAAGATTGTAATGAGAGAAAAAGATCGTTGTGCCGTCTTTGGATGTAATAACGATCGCCTTTTCCCGAGAAATATACATTGAAGTTCCCTTTTTGCCCGAAAAGCGCGCGGAAATACTGAGCGAGTACTCCCCGGGCATCCCATAATACTCCTTAAATCTAATAAATTCAATATGGCCTCCGTATCGGTAACAAGGTCTATTCAAGGTGTCTAGTATGTATAGGAAATAAAACCACAAATAGATTATCCTAGCTATATGGCTACAATAGTACATGCACTCTGACTGGCTGTTTTCCTGTAATGACCAGGCATTATTTTCTTGTAATGACCAGGCAATACTAGCTAGGTGTCCAAGGCATATACTATCTGTGTTTAACTTGATAGTGGACATCCTTATGTAGATCCATGTTATGGTCCATTGACAGCTGTCAAAAAGGGTATCCGCTGATCAGTGTCACCTGACTGTATCACAGGCTCAAGTGTACAACTTATTGAGGTGATGTGTTTTTTTAAAGTTATCTGCTGACCAATTGTTGGTTTTAATTGGTTGCAGGCTCAGGTCCATAATGAAAAGGCCATAAAATAAATAACTGATAAACCTTGTCCATTCAGTCATTACAGGAAAATCTCAGACCAACGCCTTGATGTATTGAATCGAGCGATAACGAGGTCAAAACATTAAGACCTCGCTCTGAGATTTCCCTGCGATGACCTCACTCTCAGTTAATAAGTAGTATGTATTGTCCATCTGTCTACAAAGTTTCAGTGTGATTTAAGCAGCATAACATCATATGACCTGATAGTGTAATACTCTCCATTATTACACTGCTAGGATAGATTATGTTATACTCCTCAAGTTTTGCTGAAACTTCTTAGATTAGGATGGACAATGACACCAGCTAATAATATTTAAACTTAATTCATAACTTTTAATCATCGTAGTTCAAACATCTGTTGTAAGTTTTATTTCCCACAAAATCTCTTTTTTAAGCTTGGGCTACCTGTGCTGATACAAGAGTGGGGTTAACTAACAAATTTTAAAATTTAGAAAGTACTTAATAATAATATTGATGCAATGAAATCATCATTCAAGACTTTCACTCTTAGTCTATAATAAAAAATATTGAAGCTGGCCAAGTTATAGCTAGTTTTAAATAAGGCAACTGAGCAAGCTAATTAGACTCTAATAATTATTGCCAGTAGTGGCAAACAAGGTGTTTAAAATGCCTCAGTAAAGCTTCCTTTCTGCCACCAAGGATTTATTGATTAAAGACAAACATACATTTAAAAATCAAAATTCCACTGAAAAAATCTCAAGCTGATATGAAGTATATCTCACTATATCCTGAACAGTTTTACTCATATGTGATTTATGATTTGTTAACTTCAAGTTGCATAAAAATAATGTTATTACAAATGATAAGAACTTTGAAAAGAGCATAATAGTAAATAAGTTATTAAAGAAAATTGGACACATATGTGTCATAGCAAGCCTGAGTTACTCAGCTGCAGTGAGCTTTAAATTAAGGACATAAATGTATTTGAATGTGTCTGTTGTTTTATTGTGTTTGACTGAGGGATCTGATCCTGCAACAGTGTAACCTATCAAGCAAATTAGACAGTACTCCAGACATCAAGAAATGAGCTGAAAGATAAAGATTCACCATCGCTGGCATATTTTAAGCCAACTTCAAAGTAACTCAGCAGCAGGAGCGGATCTACACTAGTACCACTGTTTACAAAAATAGGTCAGATTTTTCGATCGAAATAAACATATTTTTAATTTTTTTTTTAAATAAATACATTTTTTATGAAAAAAAAATTC